CAGCTGATACTGTTGTTGTCGCTTCAATAGTCTGTTCTTGTGTTATTGATTCTGTCGTTGCACTCGTTGTGATTGAGACAGGTGAACTTGTTATTTCTACAGTTGCAGCTGATACTGTTGTTGTCGCTTCAATAGTCTGTTCTTGTGTTATTGATTCTGTCGTTGTACTCGCTGTGATCGAGACAGGTGAACTTGTTATTTCTACAGTTGCAGCTGATACTGTTGTTGTCGCTTCAATAGTCTGTTCTTGTGTTATTGACTCTGTCGTTGTACTCGAGGATAAAGTGTTAGTGACTATTGAACTTGTACTTAAGAATGTTTCTGATGTCATACTTTCTGAAGTTAGTACACTTTCAGTTGAAAGACTTGTTGTAGTTATTGATTCTGTTTCTGTACCGCCTGTTTCAGTAGTTATAGTGACGGGAGTGAATGTCGAATAACTGGTAGAGAGTTCGCTCTCTGTTATAGTCGATGTTGTTAATGTGACTGAAGCTTGTATCGTACTAATTGTACTAGTCGGAGCAATACTTGATAATGTTGAAATAGTGATGGATGTTGGTAAATAAATTGTTGTTGCTTGAACTAAATTTCGACAGTATTGTCCTTCATAATTGGGGTTGCATACACAACCATTATTATCACTAGTACAATTTCCTGTAAAAGCAAATTCACATTCTTTACATGCTGGTGTGAATGTTGTAAAATTTACTATAAGGAAAAAGAAAAAGGTTACATTTATTAACCTTTTATCATTTTTGAAGAAAATTACTTACAAAGTTCTCCAGTTCTATCATTCATAATTATTCTTACAGTCAATCTATAACTATCATTTAAACTAACATTATTCGCAAAAAAACCATTCACAAGTTCTATACGTTCCGGAATATCGAGTGGTACATTTAATTGAACCAAATATTCAACATCAGGAGGTACTACACTGTAATATTAAATAACAAAATAATCATAAAGAATATTATGTTTTTTCTTCAATGAGAGAAAATTTACCTAGTTTGGCTCACTCGTATACATGTATCGTTACAAGTTATATTCATTCCAAATAAAATGTTAGCTACCTAAAATCAAGTATCAATCATATAAATGTCAGTAGAAAATTATAATAAATGAATTATTTTTACTTCATTTTCAATAGTAGATGATCGTGGTGAGTCAATAGGAATCGCTCGACGAAATCGTGAACCGGAAGATATATAGTTAAAATAAAGAAAAAATGATGTAGGATTTTCAGGACTTTCAGTTGTTATTTCAGTAGAGCTTGCTGTAATTGTAGATTCAGTAAAAGTACCAGTTTCAGTTGTTGTTGCCGTTGATGATGTTTCGGATTCTGTTTCTGTAGCTAAGCTTGTTCTTTCAGTGCTTTCCAAGGTTTGAGCAGAACTCTCAGAGCTTAATGTAGTCGATGATGATGATGAACTTGTTTCGGATGTCAAAATCGCTTCAGTTACTAGCTCAGTTGAAAGAGTAGCCGAGCTGCTAGTCTCAGTAATAGTAATCGTAGATAATGTTGATGATGATGAAGTCATTTCAGATTCAGACACTGAATATATTCCAGTGGTTTCAGTCGTCTCTGTTGATGAAATACTTTCGGTAACGGTTTGAACAGTTAGAGTAGTCGATTCTGTAGTGGATTCTGAAGTCTCCACTGACGATTGACTGACTGTACTCGATGGATATACAGTTGATGATTCTGTACTTAATGTAGATTCCGATTCAGACGTAGACATTGTTTCCATTCCTTCGGTAGTTGTAATCGATAAAGATGTTTCACTTGTGCTTTGAACAGGAGTAGTTGAAGTTATACTGGATTCTATTTCGGAAATAGTTGCTAAAGTAAAAAAGAAACGTTATGTTGAAAATACTACGTTTGAGATAATTCAGGATCTGAAAAAAAGTCCATCTTTATTATTGAATAGTTTCTAAACAGAATGTTCATTTCATTAGTTTATGCTAAAATATATTACTTGTTTCAATAGAAACAGTTGCTGCCTCCGTTTCAGTTGGTGCTTGAGTGGTTATTTCTGAAATACTTGCAGCAGATACAGACATTGTTTCCAGTGAGGATATTTCGGTAGTACTTTCCGAAATACTTGAAACAGTTCCAGTTTCCGAAGATGTTATAGTAGAACTTTCAGTTGACGATAAAGTTACCAATGCCTCTGTTGGACTAACCGATTCTGTCTCTAAAAAAAACAAGAAAGTTACATACTGGAATAAAAATGTCTTATAAGAAATTTTTAAAATATATGTAAAACGAAAATTGAGTAAATTTATATATTTATGAATGGAAACTTCTAACCTGTTTCTCCTGTTGTCGATTGTTCTTGACTTGTTTCTGTTGAAGAGATTTGACTGATAGTAGTTCCTTCGGTCGAAATAACTGTTTGCGATTCAGTAGTGGATTCAGTCAATATTTCAGATGTTGCTGCAGTTTCTGTTTCAGTTACAGGGGTTGTTTCTATTGAAGAGACTTCACCAGTAGATCCTTCAGTGATGGTGACTATTTGCTGTTCAGTAGTCGATTCAGTCACCATTTCGGATGTTGCTGCAGTTTCGGTTTCAGTTACAGGAGTTGTTTCTGTTGAAGAGACTTCACCGATAGTAGGCCCTTCGGTTGAAATAACTGTCTGAGATTCAGTACTGGATTCAGTCACTATTTCAGATGTTGCTGCAGTTTCTGTTTCAGTTACAGGACTTGTTTCTGTTGAAGAAACTTGACCGATAGTAGGCCCTTCGGTTGAAATAACTGTTTGCGATTCAGTAGTGGATTCAGTCACTATTTCAGATGTTGCTGCAGTTTCTGTTTCAGTTACAGGACTTGTTTCTGTTGAAGAAACTTCACCAGTAGATCCTTCAGTGATGGTGACTATTTGTTGTTCAGTAGTAGATTCAGTCACCATTTCGGATGTTGCTGCTGTTTCTGTTTCAGTTACAGGACTTATTTCTGTTGAAGAAACTTGAACGATAGTAGGTCCTTCGGTCGAAATAACTGTCTGAGATTCAGTAGTTAATTCAGTTACTATTTCAGATGTTGCTGCAGTTTCTGTTTCGGTGACAGGACTTGTTTCTGTGGAAGAGACTTCACCAGTAGATCCTTCGGTTACGATGACTATTTGTTGTTCAGTAGTCGATTCAGTCACCATTTCGGATGTTGCTGCAGTTTCTGTTTCAGTTACAGGACTTATTTCTGTTGAAGAAACTTGACCGATAGTAGGCCCTTCGGTCGAAATAACTGTCTGAGATTCAGTAGTTGATTCAGTCACTATTTCAGATGTTGCTGCAGTTTCTGTTTCAGTTACAGGACTTGTTTCTGTTGAAGAAGCTTCACCAGTAGATCCTTCGGTTACGGTGACTATTTGTTGTTCAGTAGTCGGTTCAGTCACCATTTCAGATGTTACTGCAGTTTCTGTTTCAATTACAGGAGTTGTTTCTGTTGAAGAGACTTCACCAGTAGATCCTTCGGTTACGGTGACTATTTGTTGTTCAGTAGTCGATTCAGTCACCATTTCAGATGTTGCTGCTGTTTCTGTTGCAGTTACAGGACTTATTTCTGTTGAAGAAACTTGACCGATAGTAGGCCCTTCGGTTGAAATAACTGTCTGAGATTCAGTAGTTGATTCAGTTACCATTTCAGATGTTGTTGCAGTTTCTGTTTCAATTACAGGACTTGTTTCTGTTGAAGAAACTTGGCCGATAGTAGGCCCTTCGGTCGAAATAACTGTCTGAGATTCAGTAGTAGATTCAGTCACAATTTCGGATGTTGCTGCTGTTTCTGTTTCAGTTACAGGACTTATTTCTGTTGAAGAAACTTGAACGATAGTAGGCCCTTCGGTTGAAATAACTGTCTGCGATTCAGTAGTTGATTCAGTGACTATTTCAGATGTTGCTGCAGTTTCTGTTTCAGTTACAGGAGTTGTTTCTGTTGAAGAGACTTCACCAGTTGATCCTTCGGTTACGGTTACTATTTGTTGTTCAGTAGTTGATTCAGTTACCATTTCAGATGTTGTTGCAGTTTCTGTTTCAATTACAGGGCTTGTTTCTATAAGAAATTGAAGATAATTTTTAGCAATGAAAAAAACACAGTTATGACATTCGGATATTATCAAAATTTTTTTAAATAGATTAGTTCATATTGTGCTGTTTATTCTTATAATAAATATTAGATATTTTATTTTTATTGTTTAACTAATATATAATCAAAATTTGCGAATTCTTTATTAATGTATAAAGAACAGAAAATATGTTTGTTTTTACCTGTAACAACAGTTTCGGTTACATTTTCTGTAACAGCTGATGATGTAATAGGTGTTGCTGTATCTGTGAGAATCGCTAAAATAAAGATTCATTTGCTGTTATTCATATTGAAAAATCAAATGAAAAAGTAATTCATTATATGTAGGAATTAAGCACAGGAACTTACTTTCTTCTGTTTGTATACTTTGGAATGAAGTTATTGTAGCAGTCTCTGATGATACGGAAGTGAATGATGTTTGTTCAGTACCAATACTAGTGTATTCTCCTTCAGTACTATAAGATTCTATTATTGAATAGGGAGTAGTTTCAATTGTAGTCAGTTCAATAGTTGTCGGTGCAACTGGTGTAGATTCTGTCGCCTCTGTTCCTGATGTAGCTAAAAGTAATCAAAGTAAAACAACATTATTTTTTCCTTGAGAGTCTTTTAACAAGATTAATGTTATTGACAAGTGCCTGTATTGTTCTTTACTTTATAAAAAAAAATTAAAACCTATTCAAATGTTAGATAAAACCTATCATAAGATATAGCTGAGTAACTAAAAAAAAATTCTTGATTTTTTCTTTTTTTATTGCAAAAGAAAAGCAATAAATTTATTTTATTAAATGAATAAGTAATGTAATAACTTACTTTCAGGTTCGTTTCCACTACCATCCAAAACAGTTGATAAAGATAAAACACGAGCCCATAAATTTGAATCTGCATCATTCATAATTGGTTCATTATCGGCGGCATTATTTGATAATCCAGGCAATATTTGTTCAGTATTAATTGATGGCAATGAAACAGTAGGTATCGATGAATTTTCCACAACTCCTTCACGTTTATGACGTTCATGTGATGTTTCTTTACTAAGTGATATAGATATACTAGGAGCAATTATGTCAGCACTTGCTACAAGTAAACCTTCAGCTATTGGTTGTGCTTTTTTATTATTAGTATCAAGTGGAGGTTGAAAACGTGTATCTGTGTAATCATTATTATCATTCGATGTTAATTCCCGTATTGTTCCCGTTAAGTCTGAGTAAAAATGTTGGTTATATGCATTTGACCAATCTTCACTTTTTGAATTGGAACCTAATGTAATATGATATTTAGTTTGTCTTAGATTTAAATATGAAATTAAGTCTTTTCCGTTCAAAAAGCCTAGATCAATGATAAAATACCAGAATTGCTATCATTGGTATGAAAAAAAAGTTTTTTTTTGTTTGATATATTCAAAATACTATTATATATAACTTTAATTGAACGTTATCGTATGCCTATGTAGTTAAATACAATAGAAATATGTATTTTTAATAAAACTGCTGTGAGAACATACTTAATTTTATACATATATAATTATATATATATATATATATATATATACATAAATATATAATTTAAAATTCTATAACGCCTTATTATATATCTATGTACTTATAAAAGACATTACTTTCTTTTTCTTTTTTTTTTACCTTTGACAGTATCTGTTAAAAATGTTATCGTAATCAAAGGTATAAGACAAGCGGCTGCCAGCAGCCGTATCGAATTTATTGTATGTTGTAATATCATGATCTGACCACAATCTAAAATAATTGATCATAATATATGAAAAACTGATTTGATGATAAAGAATAAAGAAAAAGAAACCGAAACTGAATGATTACTTTGTATATATGACACACAAAATTTCGAAACGAATAAAAGAACAATGAAAAAACAAACGAAAAAAAATACAGAGAAGAGAGAAAAAAAAAGAAGCAAAGAGAGAAAAAAAAGATTGAATGAAACGAAAACTGAGTCTATGAAATTGCTGCCTGAATTAAAGATGAAAGTAAGAAGGCGAATGAGAGAGGGAAAAAGAAGAAAAAAAAAATTTCTTCTTTCGACGACGACTGTTTCTCTTTTGCGATTTGATTTATACACAAGAGCATACTTTCATGTTTATACGTGAGTTTGTGAATGCTATCACATCGGCACACTTCTGTCAGCATCGACTGCTCTGTTTATCAAGCCCGGAGCAAAAAAAAGGCTCTTGAAAACTACTTGTGCCATTAAAGTAAAGGATTCTATTCGTCGTCGTTCTCCTTCTTCTCTTCAGTATATGATCCCTAAAACAAAAGCTTGAAAGAGAAAGAGAGAGAGAAAGACAGAGAGAGAAGGAACCAGCAAAAAAAAAAGTGTCTCTTAACACCGTCCTTATAGATGTACATTGATGCGAAAATAAAATTTAATAATACGTTGTTTTTTCCCACCATTTTTTCGACGACCCATAAATAACACTCATGCTTCCCTTTGGCGAAGAAAAAATTATGCATGACATCCGCCCCCACATCCGTATGATTGTTTGATTTAATTTGAATTTTATTCTACCTTTCTTTTTTCTTTGTGCAGAACAAAGTTGACTAATCGATAAATGTGTTAGTTCAAAAATAAACTACAAATAAGAAAGTCATTGTCAACATAATAATAATAATAAAAATAATAGAAACAAAACTTCTAATTGATTTGATTTCATCACTATGTCGGCAAGTTTAATAATCAATTTATGCTGAACTAATATTTCGTAATTTTTTTTTTTTCGTCATCTCTCAAATAAGCATATGCTTCCTTTGATGGAAGCCCATATTAAATTCATTTCTCTCATAGAACATCGTTATAGAACGTAAGAGAAGTCTAAAAAGCGTTGAAGATTATTTTAGTTACTCTCTCATTCCTATCAAGTCGATTGAACAATCATCGGTCAGTTTTTTTCTGTTCTCTAACTTTTGTGACATGCAATTGTATCTGCGTACATTTGATTTCAAGTTATATCGCTCATAAGTTGGAAGAAGAACAAAGAATCTACAATATATTATAACACACTATGAAAAAAGAATCGTCGTAAAACTAGGCAATCAAGACACTTGAAAAATAATTTTCAATCAGTTATGAAATAAATAAAAATGTACCAGAGAGAAAAAAAAATAGAAATTGACAAATATATATATATATATATCAATAAAAAATGTTTAGATTGTTTGTATTCATATAACATATATATATATATATATATATATATATATATAATATATATAATCTACGCTCATATTAAGTCAATATACCGTCACGCTTTGACCTTGGGCACCTATAGTGTATCTCAAACATCATGACTTTAGTGGAACAGGACAGCATAAGCAACAAAATCATTGAGATGTTTGCGTTTAACCAATGTGTATGCAAATAAAAAAAAAACGAAAAAAAAAACTTGAATCTTGTGTATATAACTATCCATAAGCTTAAACTGTTTTCGTTTTATTCAGAAGATCAACATTCACAACAGTCTGATAGAGTGTGTCGAAACTGAGGACATGAAAATGTTTTTGCTTCTCATACATTCATAATAGAAAGAAATTTTTTTTCTTTTTTTTTAATGCAGAAAAAGGTACAAAAAAATAAGAAACGGAAAGAAAAAAGTAATCAACATAGATGTTTGGAGATGAATACATTCAACAGCAATAACAACAACGAAATTTAATTCTTTTTTTAAAAGTTTCACATATTTTTTATCTTTAAGGCCAAATCATGTAATATGTTAAGATCGTAACTTGATAAAAGTATGACAAAAAAAACTACATAATACACTGTGACAACAATAATCTATTACAAAATCATATGAAATATAATATCTTATTTAGTAAATGACATCCATATTAGTAAACGAAAACCGATTTGATTTTTTTTAATGTTTGCGGTAAATGCGTCTTTCATTTTCTTTTTTTTTTCTTTCTTGTATGAAACAATACAAAGATTTGACCACAAAAACGATAAACTATTTTCTATAAGATTTCTACTTAGACGATATTGAAAAATTTTCATTTAATGTTAAGTGTTCGCTACTGGAGGCAGTAAAAATACTTTCTTTTTTTTTTTTAAACGACTAAATGTTTGTAGATGACAAAACAAACATATATGCACAATCAATTTATTGTAAAATTTTGGAAAAAATATCATACAAATGTTGAATAGGAAAGAGATGATTCTTTTTATAGTGATAATTTTTCGAAGAGGAAAAAAAAAAAGTAAAATGATCCATTATATATAATTTTCTATATAATAATTATGTCACATTAAATTTATAAATCTATATATCAATAATTTGAATTCTATAGGTCTTTTTGCCATTTAAAAGCAAAATAAATTCGTAAGAAATATGTTTATATCATATAAAACGAAAAAAACATTTTCTTTTTTTTTTTTTTATTTTTCTGTTTTGATAACTGTTTAAAATAGTCTTCAGGCTCGCATTACTTTATTATATCTTTTTTTTTTCTTCTTTTATTCGTTTCGATTGCATTGGCAAATATATTAAAACAACATTCTGTTATCGGACATACATTTGAATAAATAATATACATAATAGAAGTGAAAGCAACTGAAGAATTCAGAAATATAGAAGTTTAATAATACAAATTGTTGGAGTGATTGAAAAAAAGGGCATGATCAATCGTTTGACTTTCTTTTTTCGTTTGTGTACAATAGAACATTGCTACTATTTATATTTTCATTGCAGACATTTACATCGCCCTTCTCTCTCTCTCTCTCCCGCTCCCCCCCCCCCTCCCCGCTCGACGAAGTACATTCAAACAAATGGACACGACAACAGCATGCAATTAAAAAAGCATGATTATTTTTATTTACATAGAACAAAAATAATAATTCTTCTTTTAAAGTATTTTTTCATCTTTGAATTCAGAGGAATTACAGAAATATTCGATGAATAATTACTGTCTTACAGTGATTTGGTGTCCTATCAATCATTCAATAAAGGCGAACAAAGAAATTGAGAAAGAAACATTCATTGAATTTAAAGTTAAAGTAAATTCGTTAACAATAATTTCCATATTGAATAGAAATCACTAATAGATACACAGGAGCTAATACAAGTATTCAATAAGATGTTATTTTCTACTGTTGTCAATGTTCGAGAAAATAGTTTCAAACAAGAATATAAAGAAATAATAATAATTATTCGATTTTCAAAGATAGAAAGCTTCAGAAAACGAAATATCAAAAGTGCTTAAATATAATTTTGTTGGTAAACAATTCTTTATAATGTTTTTTAACTGAGATCAACGCTCTTACGACAACCTTCGAGGTTGTTTCGTTTTTTTTTTTACTATTTCATATCGAAAAACTTTTTTTTTACCTTCAATCAAATTGCTGCATCTCAACTGAAACCTATTGAAGAAAACTTGGAGACGTCTCATTTTGAAGAAAATTATTTAGTATGTCGTTCTATATAGTCTGTTTGAGATACTAAAAAACTAGAGTTTGAATTTTTTTGAAGTTCCTATCTTTGAAAATCAGATAATATTTTTATTTCCTTGTATTTTTATGAGCATAAATTTCAGTTACAGTAGCTATCGGTTTTTCTACAAAATGAAATGTTTTCCAGTTGCTACGATGTTTTTCTTTTTTTGCTCGAGATACATTAACCTTATGGAAGGTATAAAAGTCTTTTTTTTTTCCATTATTTCATATGCAAATACTATTTTGTTCTGAGAGAAATTTAAAATACGACTAGTCACACTTCTTTAGTAATGACATTTTCTTTTCTGTATATCGAAATCTAAACGTCTATTCAATACATTCGAATCAGTCACACTTGAAAGTTGAATTTAATTACTTCCCACGTCAAAAAAAAAAATAAGATGAAATCATATAAGATAGCAAGATTTTTCGAGAATGTTGCAATATGACTCAGCGTATGATTTTTGATTTTGTGCAATTTTCATCTAACTAACTTTTAATATTTGCATAGAACAATGCATGAAGAGCTGACTCGTCTCTATGTACACAGTAAAGTCTATTCTTATTTTATGTTTTGACAACACTACTGAAAAGAATGTACATTAAAATGGAACAGGAAAGTTTTGGACCTAAACAATAAACTCCCATATAATTCGTTTTATACTTTCTTTAGGATATGTTGACAAAAAAAAAATAATAAACTATCTCTGAGAGAAATCCAAAATATTGTTAATTCTCAAATCAAGTCATGACGTAGTTGACATTTTCTTTTTGTACATCAAAATCAGTACGTCTTTTCTTCTTACGTTCTTTTCTATATATGTATTTTTGTGCGTCCTTTTCTATACCCACTGAATTAATCATACATGTCAAACTTGAAAATTAAATGCAATTATTGAAGAATAAAAAAAAATAAAAAAGAAAGTTGTTCGCGTAACCAACCTTTTATATCTGTGTCATGGCGTGGGAGCACTTAGCACGGTCAACCACACTCGTTTCTGTGTAAACAATAAACTTTATCCCTGTTTTATGTTTTGATACTTTTAAAAAGGAAGTAAATCTAAATGAAACAGAAAAATTTGAACATTTTCTACATCATTTTCGATCGAAACGATACACTGAATTGACTTCGTTTAATATTTTTTTTCCCTTTATGTTGTCACGTAAAATTTCGATGTTTTTATTTTTCTTTAAGAAACTGTATAAAATTTCTTATACGCAATAGAAATGACTATTCAAACATGTTTAATTTCTCAATTTAGACTTTTTTTGCCTAAAATTGTGTTACTACATTTATTCATTTGTGAAATAATTATTTTTAACTTTATTTGTCAGTCGAAGATATTTCAGTTGAAATTGAATAGTTTAACTAAAAATAATTTTGTATGACAGCATGTGATTTTGCAGTTTCATACTTGAATCTTTGATTATGATGAATGATTTTATTTTCAATAGTTATAATAGTGAATCAATTTCTTTGATTTAACAAATACAAAAGAGTCATAATTCTAAAGATTAAATGAATATTGTAGAAATGCATAGTTACAAATCAATATAGAAATAAAGTGAGAAGAAAAACAAGTCAAGATTATCAAATGATTATTGTTTTAATCTGAAAAAAAAGGGATGTTCAGGAAATTCATACTAAGAAGACAATTTTTTTCTATCAAAAAATTTAACTCTCACACTCAAAAGCAAATATGAAATAATATTAAATGTATTCACTGAATCATGTAAAATGAAATAAATTATTAAAAAGAAATTCTTTGTGTATTCAACATTTCGATCATGTTCACATTGTCAATAAGTTTTAACATTAATTCTTCTATCAACATGATGACTAAAGCCCTTACACTATAATAAAATTTTATTTATTTTTCCGCTGTACAGAAGGCATATGCTGACGTCTCAGACAAACTATTGTAATAGTTGCAAATCTAACGCATAACAACATGCGTTATTAAGAGAATATACTCATGGTCAAGAAATACGGGTCGGAAACGATGTTTTTTTTCTGGCGAGAACCTGCCGAAAATTCACATATCCATGCGTCGAAATCATTGACTTGATATACTGATTTTAAGATATCTATAACTTATATTAATTCTATTGGATCACAGATATGCGCTTTTTTTTTGGTAAACGTCTGCAATTTCCTTCTTGCTTCTGTCTGTTCTAAGTAGCGAGCTGCAGATTCGGGTCCAGTCTTTTATTTTTTTTTTGGGCCCGGTTGCACGTTTTTGTGGTTCCGCTGCTCTCCAGATGAGAAGTACATCAACAAGATATTACTGTACGCTGAGTTTTTCTCTGAGAGTAGCGAATAAATAGCTGAAACCTTGATCCTTTACTTGTTCATGTACACGAAAGGTGCCGAGTATTGATGGAAAAAACCTCGCGTTTGGACTCGAGCGGGTCCGAATCCACAAAAACGTGAACCTGCAGCTTCCTAGTTCTAGGAATGTACCTATTCCAATTCCAATTTTTGACTTGGAATTAATCGGAATTGATCTTGAAAAAAATATCGGAATCAAATTATTAATTTATGTAAATATATGCAAAATAAGTAATTCTACGGCAGTCAATGACAAGTCTAAGAATCGAAAATTGGTCAGAATTTGAATTAATTCATTCCTTGTTTGTTCTTTTTTTTTGTCATCGTTCAATTTTAATCGTGTCAATTAAAAGCTTTACTTTTGAATGATTTTTTTTCCTTTTAATCACAAAACTCTCGACTATGCCAAAACATGATTTTATAAGTAACCATACAAGGAATATCAGGAAAAATGTCTTCTTTAAATATTTATAAAACATCTTTCAATTTTGCAATGTTTCGCAGAGATATAATAATAATTTCTCAAATCCTCCACGATAATATCATGAAACAAATGCACACACAAGTCGCATTAGGGTGTTGACCTTCTCTTCAATAATAATCACATACAACACATTTGGTATTCTTAGATAGTTGTACGACAGGAAAAGATTAGCTAGCTAATCACTGTCTTGCCGTGCGAATATACAAAAAGTATCTCGTGTATGTTCAAAGCGAGTATTGAATTCCAATTAGAAAATTTCGTTGAGAATATCACAGTACGGTTCGAAAATTTTGAACTCGACGGATTCTAAGGTATATAGCATTATTATTTTGTTGTTAATTATTTTCTGCACAGAAGACGTGATCGATGTTGGAATATTATGAAAGAAGAGAAACCGGATTCATTCGTTTTATTGTGAACAAGAAAAAAGAAAAGATCAGTTCACGACTTAGGCAAAGAAGATAAAAATATATAGATGTCTATAATGTATAAAATCGAAAAATATCAGTTCTAATCACCAGAAAATGAATGATTTGAAATGTGCAATTAAGATTTTCAATTAAAGAACTAAAATAAATAAATAAATATAGAAATAATAATAATAGTAATAATAATTTATCATACCGAAAAAAAGCCTGATGGTTTTGAATCAATATTTGGTCTTGGTAATTTAACATTTGGATTTACAGCTTCAAGTATTTCATTATCTTCATAAAGATCATCTAATGAATCATGAAATGTTAAATTTAAATCGTCATTATCAATAATTGCATCAAGTTCATCAATTGGATCATTACTACTTATTGTTGATATTGTATCTGGTGGTAAACTTGATAATAGAGCATTTGTATTTGGTCTTGCTATTGTTGCACGTAAATTTTCACCCATTTTTTGATCAAGTTCTTTAAAAAATGTACTATCTGTTATATTACTTTGATTATCATCAGATTCACTTGGATTACTACTACTAGCATCTGTAGGTGTTGTATTATTATACAAAGGATTTTGAACATTATTTTGTGTAGCTGATGTTGGTACTTTAGCTCTTGGTAGATGCCATAAACGAAAGATTCGTAGATCATCTCTAAATAGAAAAAAAAAACAAAAATATTATTGAATAAAAAAAAAAAAAATTAAACATCTTCTTACTTATGATGCCGTCGACGACGCCAAGCAGCCAGTGCCCAAAGGCAACATGTCGTAGCCAAAAATAGACTAGCTAAACCAGTTACAATACCAATTATAATTGGTGTCCAACGAGAAGGAGAACTAGGTGGTGTTGTTGTTGTTGTTGTTATTAAATCTGGTGGTGGTAAACAACGATCACCAATATAAGGTCTTGATGTATCATTTTCATTAACAAAACATTCACATTTACTTAAACCATTCTCAGGTAAACATACACCACGTGGAGGAATTCCACATAAATGACATAGATTAATAAGAAAACATGATGTAACATTTATAACTGGTACTAAATACAAAAAAAAAAAAGGAGTTAATCAAAATATAAAATATAATTATATTTACCTGTTTCATTGTTACCACATGGATTTAATGCAACTAGTGGAACAGGAATAGATAATGCTATATTATCAAGAAGTTCATATAAATCATTCGATATGGTAATATTATCAGGAATATTAAAATTTAATGTAACATCAGCTGTCGAGTCATTACACCTAAATTAATTTTGAAATATTTCTTTTTAATTTTATACTTTTACATACTCAAGTTCATTATAATTCGGTGATACACTATAAGTATAATGAGAAAGTGTTGCGTTGATTCTTGTCAAAATCTAATATAATTAAAATAATGAGATATCAGAACAATATTGAAAATACAATAACATACATCAAATAATGTATTATTTGCATTTGTACAATTAATTTTCATAATAAACATTGTATTATTAGGAAGAGCTATGAAAAGAATATTCTAAATAAAATTAAAATCGTTAAGTAAAAAAACAAATACTTGGAGGCTCAAATGGAATAGTTGTAGTTGTTGTCGAAGTTGTTGTAGACGTAATTGTACCGGTTGTGACCGACGGACTTGTTATTGGTTCACTAGATTTTGTAGTGGACTCTAAAATGGTTGAAATGAATTTTGAGGAAATTATTGAAAATTTCCATAAATTTAATGATACTGATATAAAAGATATTTTAAATAGGTGTATCATATTTTTTGATACGACATGGGCGGAACCGAGATTTTTTGGTACCGACAACTTTCTTCAGAACAGTCCCGGTTGTAGTCATGGTGAATATAGTGTGTTCCTGATCCTGGCGAGTTTTTTATCAGTGGCCCCGCACATGTCTGTCTTCTTTCCCGATCCCAAAAATTTACTTTTCTTTTTTATTTTCGATTTTTTTATATCTAAAAAGAGATTCAAGTGTTCTCTATCGAATAGTATACCAACGAAAAGTTTTCATGTTTATGTAGATCTTTAGAAAACTCGACTTCAGAGATCCTCTATACAAAAAATTACATTCTATGTGAGCTGAAACTTTTTGTGTGACAACTAGAATCAAATCGGAGTGTATATGTTTTTTCTTTTCTTAAAATAATGTTCAGGTGGTTTTTAGTAGATCTTACAAAATTTGTTCTAGAGGAAAAAAAAACGTTTTTTGACAGGACTTCCAGTATTTCAGTTTTCCTAAGCGAAGGAAACAATATGTTTTAAAGAAAAAAAAAATATATATATATATATACCTCGATTTGATCCTAGTTGCTACAAAAACAAATCCAACTATAAAAAATGACTTGTAGCTGTTTGCGAAAGGGAAAACTTCAGGTCATTTTTAGCTCATGCGCTTTCTATATCTCATAGAAGGAAGCATCTGAGAATTCTATGTCTATAACAACTTTTACTCTACTAGTTGAGAAGATATCTACTCTGAAAGTTTCATCATTTTTGATTGAGCCATTCTTGAGAAACCTGAAAAATGGGATGCCCTTAAATAAAACTTTAGCTTATTTAAAATGATTTTCATATTCACAAAAAAAGACTATTTTTTGAAGATGATGAAGCAATGTTCAGTCAACAAATGCAATTAGACGAAGATATATTTTAGTGTTTATAATGATGAAATTGTTTATTTTTTTTATATAGGTGTATATTTTGTTTATTCATTAAAATTTTATATTTGAATAATTCCACCGTATATGTGACATGTTTATACATGACTTTCTCCAAATCGATTTTCATTTTTCAAATCATGTAGAGCGTAGTCGATTTACTTACTATGATAACAAAAGATCCTCTATAAATTGTAATATTGAAGCGATCAGCGATCTCACAAAATTAATGCGAAATATAGCTAATACTATATAAAAACAGTATAAATAATGCTAAAATATCCATTGTCATATATTGCTAATACAGAATTTGGGCACATAGCAGGTTTTGTAGAGCGAAATTTGTTCGACACGTCCATATATAACACTTTTTCAGGGGTACTAAACACAGGCCATTTCTGCACGAAACTATTTCTTAATTAATCTGATTATAAGTATATATGCTATTACACGATAAAATCTCCATGCTAAAATGGCCGTCTATTTGGCACTTCCTTAGAAGGTGTTATATATGAACGTGTCGAGCAAATTTTGCTCTACAAAACCTGCTATGTGCCCAAATTCTGTGTTAGCGATATATAACAATGGACATTTTAGCATTATTTATACTGTTTTTATATAGTATTAGCTATATTTCGCATTAATTTTGTGAGATCGCTGATCGCTTCAATATTACAATTTATAGAGGATCTTTTGTTATCATAGTAAGTAAATCGACTATGTTCTGCATGATTTGAAACATGAAAATCGATTTCAAGGAACTCGATGTAAATGGTCACATCTACGATGGAATCACCCATTTACAAATTTTATTTATATTTATGTTGTCTTATTTATCATCCTATGTTTTTTTTCTATATTATAAGATATTAACATGAATATAATAAATTAATTTATGATGTACGAAAAACCTTCACTTCAAAAGTTACAGAGTTAAGGATATCATATAGTGTTAGATTCCGATTCTGATCATGATAGATTTGAACTTAATGCGTCTGAGTTGTCTATACTAGCTATAGAGTTCTCATCAACCCTGTAGTTGTGAGATAAAATTTTTATTATAGATGGCGTTGTAAAACTTTTTATTAGTAATATATATTCTGAAATTGTTTTCTTCTCAATTAATTTAAATTCTTTCTAATAGATAATTCGAATTTGGATAGAAAATACATTCTGTAATCGTTTAAAGCTGAAATCAAAAATTGTAAGCACTATCGATGATTTATCTGCACTAGCGCGAAGAAATGTACGACATGAGACATTAAATATTTGACAGGATTATTGAAAAAAAAATTTATAGTTTACCAGAAGTTTGTTCTGTTGTTTCTTCTGTTGCTATAATAAAAAAGAAAATTTTTTCTAAAAAATTAAAATTTATTATTAACTTTTAACATACTATAACCACTGCCATCAACTGTTGATCCACTATTGACTATTTGTTTACTTAATATGTCATCATCAACTTTCAAGAAACTGTCAATTTCATCATTATCATAAATTGACTCGTTTGATACTCGTTTACCAAGATGATCAACTGTATAATCAATAATCGAAGAAATAGTATGATTTAAATATTTTCCACTATTGTTTTAGTCTTACATGTTATTGATGAAATCTTATCTGATGTAGAAATTTGATTGATTACAATCAATGAAGTTGAACTAGATATTGTCGACGAAGATTGTTTATGATTATTAGACAATAACATAAATCCTTCATTAAGTGGATGGTTTTCCATCGTTTTATCATGTGATTTATAGTTATTTATTTTCGATGAAAGATCTTGAATAATATTAGGCCATGTCTGACTTGAGATTGATTCTGAAGATATTACAATAATATGGCTAAAAACTATAATAATAAGAAGTATATAAGAAAGTTTTAGAAAAAGAAAAGAAAAAGAAATGAATTACTTAAGATAAGTTTGATAATCATTGTTAAATATGATTTAACAAATAGTATAACTGAATTATGTCGATCAATTTTTTTTTTCTATAAATAATTCAAATTTTTTTTTTTCTTTGATTAAGTTAAGGCGCAAGGTCTACAGGCCATATCGATCACATAGTGTATAGAAGTATTTGTACAGATTAGCATCACACGAATATATATAAATATATATTGTTAGTTCTTATATTTCGTTTTTTTTTTCATTTGTAGAAAGAAAAATAAAAAATAACTGTACTCAAAAAAGAAAAAACCTATATATATCATTGAAAAATCAATTCGGTTAAAAACGAATATTATGTTTAATAGGAAAAATCAAAGATATTTAATAGATAATTAATGATAATCAAATTATTCATAGTATATGAATTATTATACATCGAAAACAAAAAATAACTCTAAAAATATATGGTTAAATATCTTATCTAATATATTAATTCATATTAAAAAAAAATTGATTAGTACTAACGAATAAATTATTACCATTGTATTGATATTCGCCTATTTACTTTCAATATGAATCAATATATTGTAGAAAATAATCAAAATTTGATGCTTTATTTTTTTTTCTTTGTCGCTCTTCCACCTACAAGATTTCGTCATATCTTCTCTGGCCTCAGGTTTCTAAACCAATTTATCCTAAGTTTTAGATATCATATTATCATTAAAAGCTCAAAACATTCTTTTTCTTTATTGATATTATTTACTTTTCTTTTCTTTCACTTGGCTGAGTAATCGTCGAAGTCACGAAAATCTCAAAATATGTCAATCTTTCATGTTTCTCAATGTGAATTACACCATTACAGATTACTAACAATAATAAAAAAAATAAAAAAGAACGATATGCTATAGAATAATACGTAGGATAATATTATTGACGACAAATATACAGCTTTTTTTACCGTTTTGGTATTATATTTATTAACACTCTTATCGTAATATGATATATGTGGTAGGCATATCGACATCATAGAATACGATGGACATACATGAGCTTCTTGCAATATAATTTACAAGACGGTGGTAGCAGGAGGATCATTATACAGTGAAGTCGGTTATCTCCTAAAACTTAAGTTTATTAGTTTCTCAATAGTCAGTTAGCGAGATGGGTGTGGATGTTTAAAGGATTTTGGTTAGAATAATCACAGCTACTATCAAAACCGATAGTATATTTGCAATTCGTATAGGAAACTGAGTTGATCCATGTGTATTATAATTATGCTGATTCTAAATATATGATTTGTTTTGATAGGAAGCAGAGATGTTCATGCGATATTTTTTGATGTCTCATGGGCAGAATGTCAAAAAGGTTCCATGGGTGGAGTTCATGGAATAAACAAAAAAATAAAGAATAACAGCGAATACATAACCGTGTTAAAAGAGAAAATGCGTAGGCAGAACGTAAATTGATCTATGAGAGTTCCGAGTTCTGTTTTGAAAACTGAGTCTAGTGACTCATTCTTTTCGTAAGAATTGGATTCATTCCAACATACTTGTGCAGTTTAGTCACATAGCTTGGAAGGACTAAAATGAAATCTTTAGTGAAACTATAGTCATATCAATTAAAAGTAGAACTTAAATTTTGATTATTTTTGGAAAAATTTTATATATGTTGTTATTCATCCCCCATTTGATAGGTATTGTATCCATATATGATTGATGTAGGATTATATAGTATAGCTCCACTAGAGCTTATACTATTGACATCGTTTCATTAACCATGGGAAGAAAAGAAATAATATCAAATAAATAAAAATTGTCAGCCATTATATTGATTTGATTTTTATTTAGTCATGTTTCATTGCAAATAGAAGGATGTTAAACCAATAGAAACAGTATGTCATATACTACTATCCTACCGTATGAAATCAATTAATTTCTTATTTTTGTTATAACAGATTGAAAAAGAAAATAATCAAGTTATAATGGAACGAAAGTTAGCATTTACCCTATTAAAGTGTCTTCCTCAAAAAGAACTATAGTTCTCGTAAAAGGATAAATTATGGAATTTTCATATGGTTAGATAGAGCAGAAAAAGCGCTATCAAATGGCATAAAAAGACATTGGAAGTAAGCGTGTTACACTTTCCATTACTGTAACTTTCGCTGGCCAAGTAATAGAAAGAGTCTTAGTTATTGAAAAACTTCGACTAATTAACAGTAGTTTTATTACAAATGCAAGAAAATAGATATGTATATGTGATTTTGATATGTAAACTATATGATAGGGTACTATTGTTCGCGTTCTTGCTCCATTCGTTCTTATTCTTGATAATCATCTTCCATTTCACCGATAAAACCGTCAAACTCTAATGATGTATCGCTAAGAATATCACTTTGAAATGTAGACGAAGCAGTTACTGTTAATTTTTATATTGTATCACTTAAGTAACTATCTTCTACAATATATCTTTTCATAATTGAAAGACAATGATTGCTTTTTTTTTATTGCAAAGGTCTGCAATTAAACCAACATGTTTGTCAGCGTCACCATATAAACCATGTAATGTATCTTGACACAATTTTCGTATGGAGTGACCAAGTTTGAATTTATCGGCTAGATAGTGTTTGACATAAGCCCATATCAATTCAATTGGTTGTAATTGCGGCATATCTAACCATATGAAAATTCCAAAATTTATCCTTTTACGAGAACTATAGTTCTTTTTGAGGAAGACACTTTAATAGGGTAAATTCTAACTTTCGTTCCATTATAACTTGATTATTTTCTTTTTCAATCTGTTATAACAAAAATAAGAAATTAATTGATTTCATACGGTAGGATAGTAGTATATGACATACTGTTTCTATTGGTTTAACATCCTTCTATTTGCAATGAAACATGACTAAATAAAAATCAAATCAATATAATGGCTGACAATTTTTATTTATTTGATATTATTTCTTTTCTTCGCATGGTTAATGAAACGATGTCAATAGTATAAGCTCTAGTGGAGCTATACTATATAATCCTACATCAATCATATATGGATACAATACCTATCAAATGGGGGATGAATAACAACATATATAAAATTTTTCCAAAAATAATCAAAATTTAAGTTCTACTTTTAATTGATATGACTATAGTTCTTTTGAAAAGAACTGGTAATCAAAATCGATGCTATTCTTCGATCAGGAACTCTAAATGTGTAACACGCTGTATTACTAATAAGGCAATGGGAAAATTACAATCTGGACATTAATCTTTTCATGAATTATAAAACTTTATTTAGGTCATGGGGTAAGAGAAATTATCACACCATGATCAAGACTATGAGTGGAGAAATGAATGAACAGAAGTTGACCTCTTTGAGGAAAGATGTTGGAGTGACATATCGCTCCAGCCCCATTTGGGATATCGTCCTCATGAACATTTCTGATAGAAAGTGTGATTATTCTGACTAAAATCTATCGAGTATCAGTCAAAACAAAAAGCAAACTTTGGCAGCCATGAATATTATGCAGCTTTCATTTGATATAAAACTCATATTTAAGGAGCTAAGGAAGGGAAATAAACCTCTCATATAACCACTCAATAGCATAGCATTATAAAGGATCGCTCATATCGAGTTTTGAGTCAGCCGGAACGAGATCTAACCATCATCAACTTCTGCCATATCAATTGACAATTGCGAAAATCAGAAGCTTGAATTTGAAAGGGGATCAATTTCATCGCTTAATAAACCTCCTCCTCTAGGATACTTTAAAATCCTCCTAAATAATCAAAAGAAAGAAACTTCACTATGTGTATATTTATATCTAAAGAAATTTTCCTCTGAAGTTCGAAACGTTAAGTAAAACTAAATTAAAAAAAACCAATTAGGAAGTGAAAAGTCATTCTCAAATGTCAACATTCTTCTTTAATCGAAAAGAAAATATTTAATTTTATCAAACAATAAAATCCATTTACAATTGAATAAAGAATACATTTTTGAATTTTATTAAAATCATTGATTATTTGTTCATGCATATTTCTTTTTTTTTAAATAACATTTTGTGTGATATTTAATGTCTGCTGCTTTGCACCAACGAGTTACAAGGTCTATTTTTTTCAGAAGTTTTTACACTTTATTATAAATCTTAGTATTCATTTTAATATAATTTGAAAAGAATCAGGATGAAAGTAATGGTGTAAATGAGATCGAGAATGAGAGCTAGTCTACAATCAAAGCCAACTCTTCTGAACTTAGACTCTTTATTTTATTATTCCAATTGGAATATTTTACTTACTATTAAAAAATAAATTTCATGACTTCGAATTAATCTAATAAATCTGAAAAAACTAAATTTTGATAGTCCTTCTAATACATAGGACAATATTATGTTACCACTTTTTTCAAGTTTTCGTCTGAAGAAATGTATTTATTGTTGTTTAGAAAGATTTAGAATTGTCACGTCTTTCTCTATAGCAGACTAGACATTTTCAATAAATATCATTTCGTAAATTGATATGATTTAGACGATGGAGCTATTGATCAATAAGACTTGTCATGAAATGACTGATTTTTTTTCCTCATTTTTAAATCTTTTTATTGACTATTTATTAACTGGATGCCGTGTGAGTTTATATCATAAGTAAAGAAAAAATCATATTCATTGAGAATAGAATAAATCAGAATATTTCTTTTGCAATTATTCGAGATAATAATACCAAGACAATGAATTTGTTTTGTAATATATCTATTGTCAGTTTTCCTCAAATCGTCATGAATAAATTATGAGTTATGTTTATATAATTAAATTTTTATTTATTTGCTAAAGAAATATATATATAGAAAGCAAAGTTGTT